TTTTTTTTTTTTTAGTTTAATGCATGGGTCTGGGTCGTAAGTGGAGGTGGAAGAAGGTATATGGGAGATACATGGTGATGGAAAATAAAATAAAATAAGATAAAATAAAGGAAGAAAAAAATAAGAAAAGAAACTTAATTTTTATAGCATCATGTAGCAATTATTGATATTGAAATGTTTTATGTTTTTTTAATTGTTTTATATTAGATAATAAAAAAAGGGGGTATTCTTTTTATTGACCTTGCTTTCAGTATTTGAGAAGCAGTTATTCTTATGGTCGTGTATAAATGATTATATGCTTGCACTGCTTTATTTCACTAGCTACCCAGGTGTTGCAGATAGCATGCTACTTTAAAGCTAAGTTAACATAAGAATTATGAGGTCAATTATTCAGGTAAAGCTGCAAAATATTGTCAGTTATTAACATTTTTGTGTGTTCTAAACTCTGTTCTGGTGTCCTCTCCTACTATATTCCAGTTTTTCTTTCCTTTTTTTCACTTGTTCATAACATTCTGTCATTGTCTAGTAGAGTTGTAGGTAAATAATGGAAACAAATGTTTCCATTATTTTTCAACCCTTCGACCTTTTCATTTATAGGAATAAAGAACAGTAGTAAGTCATAAAGTAAAGCCCTCTAGAGAGATGACCAAAAGTGTATAAAAAAGAGAGTCGTGATGACTCAATACCAATTTTGACATGTTTTTCTGACTTACAGCCAAGAGTTATGCTTATAATTTTACCTGAGGAACTATGTGGAAGTTTGTAAGAAATTATTTTATTTTTTAAAAATCTGCATTTCTAATTTCAGCATATGATCATTTTCAAGGTGATTTACAGATTCTACTTGTTTTTAATTTCATGACACTTGCTTTTTGTTTATACAATGATCTTAAACAATAAGGTAATTCTAATTCTAGGCCAAAATAAATAAATAAATAAAATAGAATGTATTTTATTTAGGGACTGGAGTCAACTCCAGGACAAATTATCCAAATATATGTGTATCTGGCTCTAACTTTTCAAATTTACAAAAGTACAAAAGTAAGATAATTTGCAAGGAATTTTTATATTTGTATTTGTTGTTCTCTAGTAGTTTATATAATGAGAACGTATTCTTTTTCTGCATGAAATGAGCTACTTGAAATATAACATAACTTAAATCACCAAAATCATAAAATAAATCACAAAGTATTTTATTTTAAAAATTAGCTATACACATTTTTATACAACTATAATGAGTATATTTACACTAATTCTAATATTTTGAGTTTCATTCTTAAATACTGATGATCTCTATAACAAATCATCCCAAAACTTACGTCTGTACCTATTGCCACAATGTAATGACTAAAAACAAAACTCTAGGTAACTAAGATTTCTTTGCATGGTCATTCGTAGATGAGGCTTTTTAAAATGACTTCTGATGACATGATAAATATTTAATGTGTTATGCCATAATTAAGTGCAAACGATAACGATACGTTAACACCTATGTGGTTTAAAGCTGTGAGATTCTGAATTTCTCAAAAAAGTTCCTCAGGAATTAAATCACAGAATTGTGCAAAGTGAACATACTTTTGGAAAACCAAGCTACTTTACAATTTTTATTAGCCAAAATATAAATATTTCGTTTTAAACTAATTAATCAACAAAATATAAATTAACATACAAAAATATTGTTGATAACTAATCAACAAAAAGCAATTGTAGTAGACCCAGGTTGAGGCCCAGATCCCTTTTTAATAAAGGGTGCACTTCCCAGCAGCAAGTCCTGTGGTTAGCTGCCTGCCTCTAGCTGTTAGCACCTGCAGGGCTACCTCAGCTGAAGCCAAGCTCATCTCTGGGTGACCTGAGACAGTGAATAAAGTAACAGCTGAGATCTAGTTCTCTAGATTTTGCTCAGCCTATGGCTGAACAGGAGGGAGTAGTATAAGAGCCTAGCCACTCTCCCTCAACAAGGGATTCTTCTAAAAGGCAATTTTGGCTCTGGAGCTCCTCCTTCAGCTGGCAGAGGATTTGTGAGATTAGGATCATGGTCCCGCTGTACCCCTGTGCAATTCTGATTCGTCTCCTTTTCTTTTCATGTGGATTTACTCTCTAATAAACCTTTTGCACCCTTAACTCCACCTCAGTATTTGTTTCCTGGAGAACCCAACCTGTGCTATTTTATTGTATGAAGAGAGTTAATTATGTAAAATTTGGGGAATATAAAGAAATTTATATGAGAATTTATAGTCTGGTATTATCATTAACCTCCACTGAATGTGTATGTGGCTCAAAGAAGTTCAGAGCCACGGGGCTGCTTAATTGAAGTACTGAGGATTTGATTCTAGGTCTCTGATTCTAAGAAACATGATGGTTTTCTCACCTACTTTGTAAGCCTACTAATATTTTCTTTGCATTGTGGAGCAAGCTAAGCCTTTGGCCACTAACAGTGTAACATGCAATATTTAGAATATAGGAGAATAAATATTAAAAATGATGAATATAAACTCTACCCATAAAAACCCATGATTTAGGGAAGAAATAGGACTACTATGAAAGGAAAGGAACAGAGATCATTAGCATCTTCCAGTCAAGCTGGTTGCCAGCAAAAGAAAGGAGATAGTGGTAAATTTGAATTATATTTTCTATATTGTTTAGTGTAAAGTAGAAATTAATACCATGAGAGCCAGAAAAAACAAGTATTCTATTTTCTCTAATCCATTACCTGTTTTCTTGTCAGCTCAGATAAGGTTAACAGATTCCAAAACAGTGAGAACCCTCCTGTTTATACTGTTTATTTGGTAATTTTATGGGAAGAAAATGTGAATTTGAGCATCTTATGTGTGTCAGTTACAGTGTTCGGTGCTAGTGATATGCTAATGAAATAAAGGCATACCTCAGAGATGTTGCAGGTTTGGTTCCAGGCCTCTGCAATAAAGTGAACATTGAAATGTAGGAAGTCGTAATCTTTTTGCTGATGGAGAGTCTTGCCTTCAGCTTGTAAAAAAGCAACATCTGTGTGTGAAGCACAGTAATGTGGAGTGCAGTGAAATGAGGTGTGCGTGTAGTCTAGCCACTTAAGGAGGGGTGGGGCACAAACTAGTCCAGTGAGGCTGCGGAACAGCAAAGAACACTTGATGTATTAGCATTGTGTGAAATGATGTATGATTTCGACAGTATGGAGCATGTCCTTGCCCTCTAGGGATACATCCTCAGCCAACAAGGGAAAGCTCCCTAGAGGAATAAGAAATAATGCTTGAAATGCCTCTTAGAGCCTGAAATTTGAGAGGGATAAAGGGTTGCAGTGGGTGGACAGCAGTGTCATCCAGAGATGCGCATGTGTAGAGCAAGGAAGCACGAGACAACGTTTTTGTGTTTCCGTTCTGTAGGTGAGCAAAGGTGGTAAGAAAGTTGGAAATGAAAAACTTTGATACTCCAGATAAAAGCAATAGCAGATAAAGAGAGGCACTGTCTGCTATGCTAAAAGATTTTGACTTTCTGTTTTCCTCTGAGAGAGGAAGTGATTAGCTGTTAAATTAAGAAGTGATATAATTAATTCCCATTTAGGAAAATATTTCTGGTAGATAGGGAAAGTGATAGAGAACCAATTTAGAGATTTAATGCAGTAAGTCAGGTAAGAAGCATTGATTACCTAGAGAAAGTTAATGACTAATAGAAAGGAGTGAGTCCAAGAAATGTCAAGGAAATAGAGATTAAGGAGTTTTGTACCTGTCAGAGGGGAGGGGGGTTGGGAGTCTGGGTGAAAAAGGTGAAGGGATTAAAGCAAAAACAAAAACCTCGGAGACACAGACAACAGTCAGGTGATTACCAGAGGGGAAGGTGGGTGGGTGGAGATAGAAGAGGGTACAGTGGGGATAAATGGTGATGGAAGGAGAGGAGACTCAACTTTGGGTGGTGAACACAATGTTATATATGTATTAAAGACTTGTACACCTGAAACCTATATAACTTTATTAACCAGTGTCACTCCAATAAATTCAATAAAGAGTTTAATACCAGATTTGGTTCCTAGTGAGCAAGAGCTGAGAGTATAGGATGACTTCCTGGTTATTTTAGAAAATATAGTAGATATTGGGAGGAATACGTAGAAGTAAAGCTTTGGGGTAGGGGGAAGGTTGTTGAAATGAAGGTAGATTTTAAATATCTATAGGGCAATGCTGAATATATGCTCAGTAAGCAGTTTTATTCATGGGCTGAAGCTTGGAAAACAAGAGATCTAAATTAAGTATTTGCTTGCATCCGAGGGTTACCAGCATAGAGTAAAATAAGCCACAGATGTCGCTGAGTGTGCGTGTAGAGTATGAAGATTAAATGCTCATAGATCTCTAGTGAAAGGGATAGATGTTATAGTGACATCATTAAAGATAAAGACTATAACATGGCCATTGACTTGGCAACTAATATTTAATTACAGCAGGGGACAAATGGTAAAGTATCTCGTTTAGAGTGTAGGTATTTTTTTATTCCACTGATATGCCTGCACAGGTATGGGAGGAAGAATTGAGGATTTCTCCCTAGGTGTCTGTGCTCGACAACAAAATGGACAAATTGATATACAAAGAAAAAGACTGATATAAGAAAAAAATTACGTGTGTATATCATAGATAGCATAATATTTTTGGATGCATTAGTTTATTTTTCAACTTTGAATATTATGCAAAATATCATACTGTAGAGGAAATTTCACTTTCATTAGTCAGATGCAATTATCCCCCTCTGTGTGAAGCTGACTTTCCTTATCAAGAGCAAAGTGAAAGGGCTAAGCCTATTATCCTGTCTCTTTGATGCTTTTATAGGATATAATGAAAGATGAGTGCTCACTGTTGAAACTGCAGCTGAAAGGGAAGGATGAACTCATTTCCCAACTTCAGGAAGAGCTGGTAAGTGATACCGACATTTGGCCTGCAAGTGTGTTTTCCTTGCAAGGTTATTTAAACAACAACTTATTTATTAACACTAATATTAATTATTTATAAATTGTTAATAATTCATCCTGATTATCAATTTTATAATCCTGTGGTAATACGGATTTGACAGTCTGAAAAATAGAGAGCATGTTTTATATTATGTATGGAACTTTGTATAATTTCAGAAACAGCTCACTGAAGCAGGGTTAGACATTTCAGTTGAAGCTATGAAAAATTGTGAAGGATAAGACCACATTTCATTATGTGAAGTGCGTGATTTAACTCTGCTCTACCTAGAGATACAAACATGTAATATAAAGCAAATTAGTCAATCATCCTGCAAACAAAAACAGATTTTACTTTTTATTTTCATAAAACTGCCAAAAATGTGTTAACCTAGTAAGACTTATTAATATAGATAATATATAAATCCAAAGTGGAAACATTATACAAAAATTTGAAATGTATATAGTTCATATTTTCAGGGTGTGTTTTTTTAAATGCAACATCGTAAAAATGCAATAAATCATACTTTTTTAACATGAAACATTTGGTAAGTAACAAGTACTGGATATTACTTTTCGAAGTATGTGTTTTCAATTTATGACGATTTCAGATTTGACTGCCTATTTGACTACGTTAACAGTAATGTATTATGTAATTATTAAATATAATTAAATGACAAAACGGATTTTATAGACCATTAAGCTTCAGGGAACTTCTAACATGTTATTGAGATGGCATACAAATTAGAGCATATTTTATTGACTAGACAACTGACAACATGTATACTGAGACTTGACCTTTATTTAGACTGTTCTATGATTACACCAATGCTGATTATTGATCTCATGAACATAGTATTATTGCTGATTTAGAAATTTTTTAAATCCTTGTACAGTTGAACTTAAGCAGTTCAAACCCATGTTGTTCAAGGGTCAACCTGTAGTCAGTTTGGATAATTTAAATTTAAAGTAAAAAGATACACTTGTGCCTCATTTTACTAAGTCAGCCAACAGAGGACTTTTTTTTGTAGGAAGGTGTACTAAATTTAATTATAGTAATATATTGGATCTTGAAGTAATAATTTCTTTCTCATTTTATTGAACAAATGAAGGACAAATATTTATTAAATATTAGAATATTAGAGTGTCTGGGGTTCTGTATGTGGCGGGACAACAATTGGTGTAAACAAGAAATGTTTTCTTCAGGCAGCAGTGTTTGATTTGATAAATCTGAAGGAACTGGTTTACACGTGGGATATTTACTCCCAGCTGCTTTATAATAGAAGAAAATCTCCTCTGCCCTGCTGTGAGGTCATGTGAAGGGCACTGGCTAGTTGTACCTCTGTGACATGGGATATATAAATAGCATTTTGTATCTTGATAATAAATTATATCTTATATTGGTCCTATAAAGTGTGTTCACAAAAAAAATGGAATAAGCCAGACAAATGAGGCCTTTGAAATGTTTTTATTTTCCTCTTTTCTCCCCTAGTAACTTATATGAATTTTGTTGAGCTTGAGGACTTTTAGTGACTTCGGTTCTTTCAGTTGGTTTTCCTTTGAAACATATTTCTACTCTTTTATGAAATCTTGTTTGTGATTTATATTTGCAAACCCTTAATCACAGTATTTCCTATTTAGATTTGAATTATATATCATGTAAGATTTATTACACATCACTGCTTGTTTTCCTCTTTGTCTTACTCCATTGTATGATCTCTTCTGATTCACTTATGGTTTGGTTAGAATCATTTTCCAAATGTTTCCTTCCGATGGGATATTGATGATGTGCTCTCTAAATCTTTGAATAGCTCTTTACCTTGAACGATAAAGGATACTGCTATGGGTTGAATTCTGTTTCCCCCAAATTCAGATGTTGAAGCCCTACCCCACAATGTGACCGTATTTGAGATAGAGCTTTTAGGGGGTAATTTGGATTAAATCAAGTCATAAGTGTGCAGCCCTTTTGATAGGATTAGTGGCCTGCTAAGAAGATGGAAAGAGAGAGAAAGCTCTTCTCTCCATTGCCCGGCACAGAGGAAAGACCATGTGAAAACAAAGAAGACAGCTGTCCCCAAGCCAGAAAGAGAGCCCTTAGTAGGATCTGACCGTGCTGGAACCCTGATAATGAACTTCAACCCTCCAGAACTATGAGAAAATTAACTTTTGTTGTTTAAGCCATCCAGCCTGTGATATTTTACTGTGGCAGCCTGAGCTGACTGAGACAGATACCATGTCTAACTAAGCCTAGTATTTTTAGTTCTTTTTTTGGTAAATAACATTCCACGTTTTTTAAAAAAATTCTGCTGCTGCACATGACATTTTTCCATGGTTCACGTAGGTGTGTGACTATTTTTCATCCTTTATTATGACTGGTAATACTACTCGTCTTCCTTCAAATTACAGAATATTTTTTCTCCTGAAACCTGAATTTCATATTTGCCTTATAGATCTATTCTTCAAGTCCCTTATATTTTCNGTAGGTGTGTGACTATTTTTCATCCTTTATTATGACTGGTAATACTACTCATCTTCCTTCAAATTACAGAATATTTTTTCTCCTGAAACCCGAATTTCATATTTGCCTTATAGATCTATTCTTCAAGTCCCTTATATTTTTCTCTTAGTATTGAACTATGTTGTCTTAGCTGAGATTTTCCCCCTCACTAATATTCTAAGCCACTAATTTGATTCTCAACAATGACTATACTTTTATAGTCTAATAAATATTAACATTTAGAAATTATTTTTTAAATCTAGAAAATAATTTTAATGTTTTAATTATATACTGTTACATATTCTTAGTGTTTTGATGTTGCTAATTTGTCATTTGTGTGGCAGCATTTCTATTGCACTTGAAGGGGCCCGTCCTTAATGTTTTGTTTATCCTTCCTTCCGAGGATCACTGGTCCTCTTAAGATCCACAATTACTTTCTTTTGCTTGTTTATTTCTCTATTCATCCTCAGTATCCGGGTAAAAAATTTGGAAGAGTTAAAGCAGATATGCTCAAAGGCCCAATAGAACCTGCTTTTGTTGGCTGGTAACAATGAACAGAATTGAAGGATATTGGTCATCGTTATCTTTTGTGACACCCTGAGGCCTCTTCGGTCACACATGTTAGACACCACCAGCCAGTCTGGGTGGCTGCTCTGCAGTTTGCCCGCCAAAAATACTCTGCATACCCTCCTAGGGTAAGAAGTTAGGAAGGCCTCGCGCTTCTGGCAGGGGTGCATATATTCCCTCGGCAGTCTCCTCTCCAGAACCTTGATTTCTCATTCTTAACCCAGGCTCATCGGTGCTTGTCCAGTGTCTCCAGTTCAGTCCCAAGGAGAACAAAGTCTTGAGCCTGCTCTCTCCTCTTAACGCCCGTCAGAACCTGAACCCTCCCCCCGTGCCCCTGAGCCTTGCCTTGGTGCCCCGGCCTCTGCCTCAGCGCGCAGGAGGTTAGTGTGGGTTCGGGAGAGAGAAGTGTCAGGAAACTGCACTCAGGATGCCACCCGCTTTTGAGACTTCCGTCATGCGCCCTCTGATGAGCAAATCCAGAATGGTAATTGTGTTAGTGCAGTCTCCCCCTCCACAATTTATTTTTTAGCGAGGCTTCAGTGGAAGCCACATTACACGAAGCCCCCACGCATGCATGAGGTTTGATCACTTTTGCGTTGGGTTAGAAGATTAAATAAGAAATAGAGCAAAGGAGGCATTTATGCCCTTCATATTCCTGTGGCCTTATCTTGCCCTACTTGAAGAGGAGAGTGAGTGAATATAGTGATATAAAAAATCAGGGTATGCCCTAGACAGTTTTGCTTAGTGGTTAGAGCGTCTGCCCTCAGACTGAAGGGTCCCAGGTTCGATTCCAGCCAAGGGCATGTACCTCGGTTGCAGACTCAGCCCCATTTGGGGCATGCGCAGGAGGCAACCAATCTCTGTCTTCCTCACATTGATGTTTCTCTCCCTCCCTCTCTCTCCCCCTTCCACTGTCTCTGAAAAAGCAATGGAAAAAATATCCTTGGGTGAAGATTAAAAAAAAATCAGGATATGAGTGTGCCTATGTAACTAGATTTAGCCACCTTTCTTCTGGTCTGTTTTTTTTCCAATTGTCAAATAATGTTACCATAATACTAAACGTATAGAATAATATTAAATATTCATCAGTGATGAATTTGGTACATGATAATACATAGTTATATGTTACATAGTTATATGTAAATATATATTTACATAGCTGTGTATTTATAAAATTAAATGGGGAGAACTGCATATAGTGCAACATTGTATAAAAATATACATGCACAGAAAGTCTAGGATAATTAATAATTATCTTTAGGTAACATGAGAATGTTTACATTCTGTTTTATGTAATTTGGTAGTGTTTCACTTTCAATAATAAGTATATATTCCTTTTACAATAAAAAGTCAGACATCTCTTTGGAAAATAAATGAAGAATGTAGATTGAGTTTAGTGGTTTTTGTTCTGTAATGTGTGTGTGTGTGTGTGTTGGGGGAATGTCTTAGTCTGCTTGGACTACTATAACAAAATACCATAAACAACAGACACTTATTACAGTTCTGGGGGCTGAAAGTCCAAGATGTTGGCAGATTCAGTGTCTGATGAGAGCCTTCTTTCTGATTTCTGACAGCAGTTTTCTGCATGTGTCCTCAAGTTCTTTCCTTGGTGCATTCACACAGGGAAAAAAGAGAGAGAACTCTTGTGACTGTTCCTCTTCTCATAAAAACACTGATTCTGTCATGAGGACCTCACCTTCACGACCTAATCTAACCCTAATTCCCTCTCTTCCAAAAACCCTTACATTGGAGCTTAGGACTTGAACATACCATTTTGGGGACGCGAGTGTTTAGTTTTTAACAGGGAAATAAGAGTACCAAAGAGGTCTTGTGGAATTATATCCCTTTACAACTACTTAATGGTAGCAGTTATGATTTTACTGTTTTTCCATATCATAGTTCTC